ATCCCTCATAAAAAAAAAAATGGTTTTTTTTTTTGGTTTTTTTTGTTGGAGTCTTACTCTGTTGCCCAGACTGGAGTGCAGTAGCATGCTGATGGCAACCGCAGCCTCTACTTGCTGGGCTCCAACAAACCTTCCGCCTCAGCCTTCCAAGTAGCTTTAACTACAGGCACATGCTACCACACCCGGTTAATTTTTGATTTATTGTAGAGACATGTTCCCGCCAAGTAGACAGGGTAGGTCTGGAACACACAGTCTCAGGCAATCCACCCTCCTTGGCCCCCTAAGTGCTGAGATTACAGGCTGAGTCACTGAGCATGGCCCACAAAAATTGTTAATGGAAGTTCTTCTCATTGAAAACTAAACATTCTAGAAAGCATCAGAAAGTAATTATAACTTTTTACAAATGGTAGACAAAGGGAACACAAAAACATCCTGTGTTTATCTTTCTGGAGAGTGAGTCCCTTATAGTACATGATTTCAACACCATGTAAGTATTCTAAAAACCCATCAGCATGCATGTTTCAGCTGGTCTTGTTGTGAGAGGCTGCACTACAGAAGAAATATCCTGAGTTGTGGCAAACACATGACTGCTAAGATATGTATACTAACCAAAATGAGCAACAGGTTCAACATAATCCTTGCCAAATTCACCATGCCACTTTTTCCAGAAATACCAAAAAAATCAACCCTTAAAAACACATCAAACCTCTAACACCCATGAAAATACTACAGTAATTGAAACAATTTACTGCTGTTATAAGGCAAAGAGTTACACTGAAAAAAAGACAGGAGAGAAATGAATCATTGCATTTAGATTCAAATGGAAGGGTTATTTGCACACTGCTATTTACTGCAACATTATTCACAAAAGCTAACACTTGAACACAAGCCAAACATCTTTCATCAAAGAAGACAATTTCAAATGCACTGACAATGGAATATTATCCAGTCTTTTAATAACAGGCTATCTCATAGTATATATATTTTGAATAAATCTGGAGGAGATTATTCTAATTGAAATAAGCTTGCAGGAAGAGGCCCATACCACTAAATTGAAAAAGTTTAACACAAAAAGATGATATACATGCATTGATAAACACATGATGAAAGTAGGACAATTTCCATGACTACTCATTTAAATAAAATGACCTCTAACAAAGAATTATATGAATTATAACAAAAATAATATGTATACAACCATACAAGTGCTTACATAATCTTGGCAAAAGACACATTTCTAATTTATGTTTGAATATTGTCCCACATTCTCTCTCTTTTTTTTTTTTTTTTTTTTTTTTGAGTTGGAGTCTCACTCTGCCGCACAGACTGGAGTGCAGTGGCTGCTTCTGGCCACCTCAGCATCGACCTGCTGGGCTTTGGTGATCCTTCTGCCTCAGCCTTCCAAGTAGCTGGAACTACAGGTGCCCACTACCATGCCCGGCTAATTTTTTTATTTATTGTAGAGATGAAGTCTCACCAAGTTGCCCAGGCAGGTCTCGAACCTGTGGGGTCAGGCAATCCACTCACCTCAGTCTCCCAAAGCATGGGATCACAAGCTGAGCCATCAAGCCCAGCTCAGAACCTTTTTTACAAACTACAATTTTCAATTTTGATTGGGCATTCATGAAAAACAGACATTATGAATCATTAGCATGCAATTAGATTAATGATACAGAAGAAAAAATAAATTTTAATTTCTCAAGAAGACTTGGAAAAATTTAAGGACTAAGCATTTAAATGATACTACTGAATCTTTTTTACTATGTTATAAATATACTGCTGTTATTTTTACACAAAAGGTAAAGTGAAAATTTAGTGTAGGAATGAAGAAACACCTTACATTTATAAATATTGGAGGCAACATGAATATTATGAAACATGGTGTAACACAGTAGTGTATAAAGTGAACTATTGTGAATACATATTATTATTCACATATAAACATGTTGAGTAAAATGAAAGGAAATGGTATTGATAACATTTCACATGCAACAAACATAAAAATAAATATTAGAACAGTGTGGAAGTCTTACTAATTATCTATCTCACCTCTTACATGATATATAAATTCAAGTATGTTATTTTAAGTCTTTTCTTTATTTATTTGTTTCTTTATTTATTTTGAGTTAGAGGCTCACTCTGTTGCCCAGACTAAAGTGCAGTGACATGCTCCCAGTCATCGCAGACTCGACCTGCTGAGCTTTGGCAATCCTTCCACCTCAGCCTTCCAAGTAGCCGTGACTACAGGCACACGCTACCACACCTGGCTAATTTTTTATTTATTGTAGAGACGAGGTCTTGCCAAGCTGCCCGGGTGGGTCACAAACCCGAGGACTCAGGCAATCCACTTGTTGCGGACTCAGGCAATCCATTCACCTTAGCCTCCCAAAGTGCTGGGATTATAGACTGAGACACAAAACCCGCCCTCAGATCTTTTAAATCTAATATTATAGGTAAACTTATTGACTGCAAATTAAAAACTAAAAGTAGATACTTAGTTCCATTATTCTATAGAACAAAAGAACAAAAGTTATAAAATAATAATTTAAAGGACAAAAGGAAACAACAAATTTTTTGCTATATGTTTGGTAATGTTTTAGGTTTACCTACAACATTAATTTCTTTGGGAAGGCTAAGAGGTGAATATAAGATAAATGTTAAGACACTGGCCCTGACAACGCAACAATAAAAAATGCAAACCTAACTACTCAAAGTTAAAAAAAAAATCATGATAGGAAAACAGCAGTGAAGTAAAAATATCTCCTAAAGAATGAAAACATATATTATCCTGTGATCAGCAATCCCTCTTGTGAGTGTGTATCCAAAGATACAAAGCAGAATCTGAAAAAGATATGTATACGTACATGTTTATGGTAGCATTATTGACAAAAGGTGGAAGCAACCTAAATGTCCTTCAGAGAATAAATGGACAGAGAAAATGAGGAACCCTTAAAAGAAGAAATCTTTTCACATGTTATGTAAGGATAAATCTTGTAGACTTATGTTAATATAAATAAGACAGTATCAGCTGGATGTGGTTGCTCATGTCTGTAATCACAGAACCTGAACCCACCAGTTCAAGACCTGCCTAGGATATACAGTATGCCAAGACAGGCACATGCACACAAATACTGCATGATGATGGGTACAGTGGTTCAAGACTGTAATCCCAGCACATTGGAAGGCCGAGGTAAGAGGACTGCCTGAACTCATGGGTCAAGAACAGTCTGGGCACCTTGGTGAGATACCATATCTACAATAAATGAAAAAAACTCTGTTGTGGCAGCATGCTCCTGTAGTTCCAACTACTTGGAAGATTGATATGGAAGGATCACCTGAACCCAGCAGCTTTGTCATTAGCATGCCATTGCACTCCAGTCCAGGTGACAGAGTGAGACTCCAACTCGGGAATAAAAATAATCCTACGTGATCTCATTCATACGTGGAATCAAAACACACTGTACTCATAGAGGAAGAAAGTACAATGTGGTCACCAGGGCCTGCAGGGGAGAAACTGGAGATGTTTTTCTTTTCTTTTTCTTTTTCTTTTTTTGTCTAGTAGAAAGAAGTTTATTTCTGAGTTTGAATCCAGGAATGATATTTTCCAGTGGTTACAAATTTCAATTATAACTCAGTTTTAGGGAACTAATGTATAACATAGTGACTTATAGTTAATAATAATGTCTCGTATGTTTAGAAAATTTGCTAAAATAAAAGACATTAAGTGTTCTCCTTACAAAACATAAAAATGGCAACTACTTGAGGGGAATGATATGTTCACTAACATGATAGTAATCATCATTTCACAGTGTATAGGTATATCAAATTGTTACGTTATTCACAACATATGGTTATACTTTTTTTTTTCTCAGTTGGAGTCTCACTATGTCACCCGGACTGGAATGCAGTGGCCACTCCCGGGCACCGCAGTCTCGACCTGCTGGGCTCCGGCGATCCTTCCACCTCAGCCTTCCAAGTAGCCAGAATTACAGGCATGCACTACCACGCCCGGCTGATTTTTTTTTTTTGATTTATTGTAGAGACGAGGTCTCACTGCCCAGGCGGGTCTCGAACCCGTGGGCTCAGGCAATCCAC